AATTTCGAGAATGTCCACACCAATGATCAAGGTCACGTCCTTTGATGTGCTTATTTGAACATCACCTATTACATAAAATATTTTATATACAATCCAATAGACATAGACAAATATATTGAAAAATTCACGAACTTCAAACAAAGTTAACCTCTCCACTCTCTTGCACGGCACATTTGCATGATAATGACAAAAGGCGACCCATCATTTTCATAATGATGCTCCAAAGCAACCAACTGATCAACATATCGCCCCCAAACAGTGCATTCCTTTACATTCCCCCTAAACAACACAATATTTTTCAAATTTTTAATTTTTTAATTTTATTAAATCAGAAATCGGAAAATAAGATAGGAAATAGGAAATAGGAATTTTTTTTAATTTTATCGAACAATTGAAATTTTAATTTAATCGGACATGATCTTTTAAGATAAATCGGAAATCGAAAAATTTAATTTAATCGGACATGATCTCTAAATTTTTGTTATTAAGACCTAAAGCGGAAATTCATTTAAAACTATGTTTTCTTATTTTTTGTAAGTTAATCGGAACTCGAAAAAAATATAGTAAACAGTGCATTCCTTTACATTCCCACTAAACAATGTGCACACAATATTTACTTGTTAAAATCATAATCAGAATCCAGAATTTTTTTTATTTTAAAATTTTTTAATTTTTTAATTAAATTAAATCAGAAATCAGAAAATAAGATAGGAAACAGGAAATAGGAATTTTTTTTTTTAATTTAAGCGTACAATTGAAATTTTAGTTAAATCGGACATGAGCTATTAAGATAAATCGGAAATAAAAAATATTAATTAAATCGAACATGATCTCTAAATTTTTGTTATTAAGACCTAAAGCGGAAATTTTAGTTAAATCGAACAGTATCTTTTAGCTCAACTTAAACAAAAAAAAAAAAATACATAAAACGATTGAATAGAAAAGATAAATATATAGGCTATAAATGCTTACTCCAAATCCATAATAGAAAATACAATCATTTGTGTTGGAACTCCCTTGACAACCTTCATTTGAATAGGTTGTATTGAAACAACCAATCCAATAATATCTACATAAGTACAAAAAAAAATTAATCATTTTCATAATGCAACATATAAAATAGTTAATTATATTACCGATTGTCTATATAACAAAAAAAATATTACGAATTATAAAATATAAAATATATTAAAAAATAGGTAACGTACCAAACAACAATGCTTCTTCAATATTACGAACATCCATCAAAGTTAGAAAGTTTCTAAACTCAAAACGATGCATAGGAAAATCCCCCTTCCATTTGACAATCTTGGTCATGCCATGGATGATGATCCTCCATTTCCCTATAGTCGATTTGTAGAGGCCAATATTGCTTTCAACTTGATAGTTTGTCAAGACATACTTACAACCTTCTTCCAAATCGCCGATGAATTTTTGAATATTCACAGGTCGAATTATGCCAGTAATTCACAATCCCTAAGACAATACAACTTAAATAATTTAATAAACACAATCATATAAATTTAATTTTAAATTTCAATACAGTATGAACATGTGAATATATTACCTCAGAATCGTGAAAGATAATCTCAAGTACATTTCGGTAGTTGCGTACGTCTTCAACTCGTTGGAACATCCTAATTATGCGTAGCTTGATCGGTGGCTTATTGGATCTTTGGATATCCTTGATGACTCCAAAATTCAAAGGCATGTTGAATGGTGTAAAAAAAAAAAAAAATTCGTGAAAAAGTTTTATTGTGAGATTTTTATGCTGTACCAAAGATGTTTTTGAAGTTTATATAGTACTCGACGATTTAAAGATGGTTACGAATATTTTCAATTTTGAATTGTACTAATCTTCTTAGGGATAAAATCCAATTTATGCGATTTTGTAGCAATGTTGGTAACAAAATCCGATATGTTTGGGAAGGCAATTTCAATTCGATATGTTTGATTCATGGGATTTTCAAATAGACATGGAACATTATTCATTTTTTAATGGGGAAATTCAGTAATAATTATCTACAAAACCATTCAGATTGGTATGAATTTATCAAATCTCACAGAATCCGCTTAAATCAAACATTCCACTTACATAGGTTTAACAATTCCAAAATAAGTTGACATAAAATCAGCTGAAATTGTTTATAAAATCTTATCAATTGTTTGTGCAAATAAAGATTTCATAAATATGTTGTATTTGAAGGGAGCAAATTTCGATTGTATATTGTTAATCAAATCGAAACTAAAATTGCAAAGATTTCATATGGATTAATCGCAGAAAATAAGGTTATATTCGGTAACGAAATAAAAAACATTTTGAATGTCCCCATAGAATAAGAGAAAAAATTCCGATTATATTCTGTTATAGAAACCGAAATTATTTTTGCAGATTATTTGCATCAATTAAGAGCAGAAATTTCGGTTGTTTTTGTTCAGTAAATCAAAATTCATTTTGAAAAGAATCCGCATGGTAAGTTATTCATTATTTTTATATTAATTACTAAAGCATGTGGGACCGGCATGGTTTTTTCTTAAAGTAGTAAATTTAACTAAAATTAGTAAGTCAAAGTGGTATTTTTTTAGGTCAAACATACTATTTTTGAATTATCCAACAACCTCTTTATATTACTATAGATATCTAATTTATCTTTAATTTATGACTCAAAATAAATAAAGACATCAATTAATAAAATATTAAAATTTTGATGTCTACAGGGATAACACCCTTCATCTTGTACACACTTTTCATTTTATCGTTCTACAGAAATATAATCGTTCCTTTCTTTTTCTCTCTGTGTTCTTCACTCAAATATGTTCTCAATCCTGTAATCCAACATATATCTTAAAAAACTAAAGTAAATCGAGCAATCACATATATTTATACATTTAAAGATAATGTAAATGGTTATTTAAAAATTATGTTATTTCATTATAAAACATAAATAAATGAACAAACATATAGATATATACACATGAAATGTAAAATTATGAAATTTACTCGAACGAAAGATTATTATAAAGATAATATCAAACTATAAAATAATTAAAGTAATTAGTAATCAAATCATGATTCATGATATTTGATAGTACATAATTAAACAAATCAAATTGGTACAATAATTATCAAGTTAATTTTTTCCATAACTAAGGATGTAGAGAGTATGTTGTAATAAACTGCTATTTACTTTAAAAATGATGATATGTGTAATGACGGACGTAGAGAGTATGTTGCAATGAATTAATATTGGTTATAAAATTCATATTCTTTTTGGCTTTCTGAAGGAGTTGAAGTGGAGGAAGGCTGCTAGAGATTCATATTCAGTGGTGAACCTACTTTTGCATCAACTTATTTTTGGAGAGTTCTCTCAGCTAGGAGTAAATAGCTAAGTGGTTTAAGCCCTCTCAAGTTACTTTTAGTTTACTTTTGTATGTATCAGAACTCTTTAGAGCTCTTTTCTCTCTCTACATTTTAATGTATTTAGATTATGCTTGAATAGCTTTTCAGATTTTGGATCTGTGTAACTTGGCTAAGTTTTCTAAGCCAAGGCAAGTACCTTCTGGTGCGACCTATTATAAAAACTTTGTTCGAGTTGCAATATATTATTATCCGTTTCGAAAAAAAAAAGAATATGTTGCAATGAATTAATATTGGTTATAAAATTACGAAAGTATGTTTATGTAACATATAAAAGAGCGGCAATCACATATATTTAATCTAAACTTATATAATAAGGTATTATATTTACCAAATTTAGTAGGTTGAAAAGTCAACGTAATTAATGCATTGCTATTTTTATCCAGAATTTTATATAATTATTTTATTTATTTGTTTTATATCCTATAAAATCGGTTTAAGAAAAAAAAATCCTGTAACATCTTTACTAAAAGAAAATAATAATTTTATATAATTATTTTATTTTTTATATAAATATTTATTTTATTTTTTTTTAAAAAAATACCTAAAATCTTTACTATAATAAAAAAAGTTTTTTTTTTTTTATTTGTCCTCCATAATAACATCGATTCAGTCAAAACAAATCTCATAAACTCAACGAACTTAAAAATTGTACGTAAAGTTTATATCTATACTAAAAAAAGACACATTCAAAATTCCTTATCTAATTCTTTCTTATTATCTAATTGTATGGAAATCTTTTATGATTTTGTTCAATCATCTAATTGTATTTGTCTTATATCCCATAAAATCGGTTTAAGAAAAAAAAATACCATAACATCCGATAAGTAAAAAATAAGTACGTAAAATCTTTACTAAAATAAAAATGCTTTATTTATTATCTAATTGTATGGAAATCTGTTCTGATTTTGTTCAAACCGATTTCTGTATATTCAGATTTTTTCATAAAAATATTAACAACAATATATATCTACTCTACTCATTATAAATTACAAATCTAAAAATATCGAGCCATTATCTTCCTTACTGTCAACATCATGCGAACAAAAATTATCCCCAGTCAGTCTTTTATTGAAAACAATAAATCAAGGATTTGACTTAATCAAACAAGTCAATAGGTCTAATAGACCTATGCTCAAAGTTCGAATTGTGAAAATGTTTTTCCAAGACTGGGGCAACACATACAAATCATATCTCGAGTTGGTTCTGCGTGATAAAACTGTAAGCCAAATTATTTAATTTTTTTTTTTAATTTCGAACTTTGTAACATATATTTTTTATTTTATTTTTTTATATTTTTATATTTTTCGTGTATGTATTTAGATATTTTGTACATTTTCGTATGTCATAACCATAAACAAGAGTCAGAGACAGTCTTTATCCCACATTGGTACTTTTTAAAGAAACCTGTCTTTAGTCATGACCAATGATATGTTGCTGTTTCGCGTGTAACTAACAGAAGAGGGTTGAAGATATTAGTATGGGAGAATGAGAAGTTACCCAATAATCAAACTCATAATGTTGTGACTCCGATGGAACCCGACTCCGATTCCCCTTCCGCCAACTCCACGCCGCCGACCAGGCAACTTTCGATCCTGGCGACTCCTCCATATCTCGCACCTTCAATGCTGAATTCCCGCCTCTAGACCGCGAATCTGCTCTGACCACGAAACGGCATAAAACCCTAAAACGGTCGGGAGACACTTTGGAGCCCTGCGATCCCCCTCGCCTAAGCCAGCCGCCGCCGGGGTTTCACGGTCACCCGCCCACATCAGATCCGCCGACTGGTCATTCGGAAAAACTGTACACTAAATGGACTTTCCGCGATATGGTTAACAAACACCGAAACCATGTTGAAGTTGTTTCGGATGATGAAGGACAAGAAGATGACAGAGAGGACTTCGTCGTAGACCTGGACCGCCCTCTCCCTGAGATGACCATCCCCCAGCGATTTTTTGATCAAGTCAATTTGGAATGGAAGAACGTAGTAGTTGTCAAGCCGTTCGATGAGTCCCTGACGATGGCGTCTCTTTACAACCGTCTCACGAAGATGTGGCCGGCTATGGCAGGATGCAATATGATGGACCTCGAGAATGGTTTTTACCTAATTCACCTTCAGACAATTGACGATGCAATCCAGATTCTTACCGGTGGGCCCTATGTTGTGGGTAGCAGCTACATGCACGTCCAACCATGGTCCCTTGATTTCGATGCAATGAACGAGGAACTCACCTCAACAGTGGCGTGGATTCGGCTCCCGGGCCTACCAGCACACCTATACCATAAGAAGATTTTTCGAACAATTGGTAAGATCGTTGGTAAGGTGGTCAAGATCGACCATCAGACAGCCGCTCTCACTCGAGGGAAGTACGCACGTTTGGCCGTCATGGTAGACCTCACCAAGCCATTGTGTGTTCAGTTCTCCATCAATGGCAAGAGGCAACGGGT